ATCTTCTTTGGTAGGTGTGCCGTTTCTTAGTCAATCATCTCCAGGTAAAGATGTGATTTACACACAATCTTTTCAGTCTAAATCCTGCTAGCATATTACAGTTTTTCACCTATAACCAGTTTGATTTGGTTCAATAGTATACTAGAGAACACTTCCCCAGATGCTAGAATCTTTTGTTCCCCATGTAGGTAAGGTGATATTCCCTTGTTTATACAGCCAAAGTTCATCCTAGCCCTTTCGGCCATAGCATTGCACTGGGAACTTGTGGTTACTGATTATCCACCAGCACCCCCAAATGTTTTTCAGAGTCAGTGCTACCCAGCATAACATCCCCCATCCTGTAAGTATGGCCTGCATTCCTTGTTGCTAGATGTATGACCTTATATTTGTCTGTATTAAAAAACATATTGTTTGCCTGCCCTCAGGTTACCAGGTGATCCAGATTGCTCTTTATCAGTGACCAGTCCTCTTCATTATTTACCACTCCCCCAATCTTTGTATCATCTGCTGCAAATGTAACAATAATGACTAAGCTTTCTTCCATTTGTCTGAGAAAAATGTTAAATAGCATCGGGCCAAGAACCTTCGGGACCCCACTAGAAACCCACACACTCTATGAGAATGGGAATAAACTGGCATGAATACGTTTAGGCTGGAAATTAGAAGAAGGTTTCTAACCATCAGAGGAAGACAGTTCTGGAACAACCTCCCAATACAGGTAGCGGGGGCAAACAACCCAGCTAATTTTAAAATACATTTTAAAATTTGATAAATTTATGAACAGGATTATATGATGAAGTTACCTGTGACAGCAGGACTCTGGACACAGCGATCCAGTCCTGTGTGCTATGATTGCTCATTTAGATAGCAGTTAATCCACTGGATGTATGCCAGGCTGTATTGTGCTGGAAGGGCACAAGGCGGTGGTAGTGGGGAAGGGGATATGTTTGAGGGGCACCTGTGAGGTGTAGGAATGAGGGGACTTTGTGGGCATACTGCACCACCTCTTGGCTAGCAGCTCTGCTCTCCACCTGGTCATCCCTGGCCCCAGTAGGGCTGGAGTGGCTGTGCAGAGGGAAAGTAGTAACCAAGGGGCTGTGAGGGGTACATTTATCATCTGGAGACCCAAGGGGGAGGGGAGGCACACTGCAGACGCTCTACTCCCCTTTGGGGGCTAACGGGGAAGGGATTCTGCACAAACCTGAGACCATCCCATGGAAATGACACTGGAGCTCTGAGACGTGTGAACTGACCCATTCTCTTCCTCATCCCCTCACAGTCTATCCCAGTTTCTGTTGTGGACTACCAACAAGCTCTCTATGCATGTGCTCAAATGACTCCAAATTTGCACCACAAGCTCTACTCCAGCCCCTGATATGGCACCACAGTTTTAAAGCAATTTACATATATATTTTGAAAATTGTAAGCAGCTCATTTTGGAGGAGGGGCTGTATAGCTGAAACTGTTGATGAAATGGCCAGTTTGCACCACAAAGTCTGCCTTCATGCTGCAGCGTACCAGTTGTCAAGACAACCTCCCTGTGCATGTGGGTTTCAAAGCATTTTGAATATTAACAATTAAAACCCTAACGTTGATATCACATAATTTTCTAAGGGCTGCTCTATGTCAGGAACCCCTTGGTAAACAGCCCCAAATTCGGCTCAGTGACCCACCCTGGAGCCCCACTGAGGCAGGGCACTTTTCAAGCAGTCTGAGTCAGCATGTGGATTTTACAGCACTTAGAAAAATTGGCTGTTAACAGTAAGCAGCTCTCAACATTTGCTATTATGGTGCTACTCCCCCACTCTAACAAGCAGGTGAATATTGAGTAGGGGTAGGTAGGAGGTATGACCTCTGCAGGTGTCATGAGTGAGACAGTTACTGAATACTGTGTCCTGTTTTGGGCTTCAGAAAAGAGGTACAAGAATGAGCAGCGGAAGTCTGGAAACCCTGCCTTATAGTGAAAGACTAAAGAAGCTCAGTCTGTTTAGAGGTGACTTGATCACAGTACAAATACATGCATGGGGAAGATATTTCTGAGAGCAGGCAGCTCTTTAATCTCCCATACAAAGGCAGAACAAGACAAATGCAGACTGGAAATCAGCTAAAGGTTTTCATCAGTGAGGGTCATTAACCTTAGACAGCATGGTGGATTCTCCATCACTTAAAACCAGTAAATGGCTAGTGGCTAGTTTTGCTAAAAGACTTGTTCTGGCTCAGCCAGGCATTCTGGGCTGGATGCAGGAGTCACTGGGTGGGATTCTCCAGCTGGGTGACGCAGGTGCTCAGACTGGCTCATACTGTGCCTCACTTTTGTCCCCACTAAAGCAGCTGGACCCAACACCCTCTGCCCTACACATCAGCCTGCTGTGTGATCTCCCCAAATCCAACTGGCCATGCCACGCCTTCTCACAGCCTGCTGTGCTCTGCTTTGCCCACTCGTCTCCCGTGCCCCTCACCCAACCTGCCATACTCTGTGCATGCCTGCTGCTGGGAGCCACTTTGCTCCAGGAGCTCCTTGCTTTATGTCCAATCCCTCTCTGAGCATGGACAAAACAAAAGAGTGGAGAAACAGAAAAAAAGGAGTGGAAAGGGGGAAGAAGATGGAGGGAGGGAGACAAGCCCATCAGGTGAGGTGTGTGCAGCTGGGGTCAGTTCCCAAGGCTGCTCCAGAGCTCATGATGCCTGCAGCTGCATGGATTCTGTAGCTGGTGGCAGGAGAAGGGGATCCTGTTACATGGGGCTACTTCCAACAGCTGGAGGGGCAAGGGAAGTGAGATGGGAGGGAATGAGTTCCCTATGAAATGCACACAGGGCTCCAAGGAACAAAGCTCCCGCTGTGGGGAAGTGCCTGACTACTCCAGTGCAAGCCTCTCTCAGTAGGGGGACCTGTAGGGAGCCAGGCAGGAGTGCTGGCCATTGGGGGAACTCCTGGATACTCCAATCCCCTTCTCTCTCACCAAGAGGTGTTCTAGGGAGCATGGCAGGAGGGGTGGTGGGGGCACAGTGGGGAGTAGGACAGGAACTTAGGTTTTGGAGGGAGAGTGCAGCACGGGGCACTGTAGGGAGTGGGGTGGTAGCCATGGCTGTTGGGAGGGGGCAGCATGCGCCCATGTAGGGCATGGGGCAAGAGTGCTGGACAGGGGCTCCCTGTTACTCTAGTCTTAGCCTCCCAGCAGGAGAGGCTAGTGGTGAAATTGCTTCTAGGGCCTGGGCTGCCTGAGGGGCTGACATGTGACCCAGGTTAGGAGGCTCCTAAGAGCTGTTTGCAGCCCCCCAGCTGGGCCCTTTCCCTGGTGCTCGTCTATGTTCCTGTGCTGCTTGCTCACGGGAGCTGAGGCCCCAGCCCCAGTGTGGGGAGGAGCTGCAGCTATGGAGCGTGAACTTCACTTCACCCGGGCCTGTCCCAGCTGCCTCCCTTTTGCCTCCTTTTCCGGGGTCTGTTCTCCCCGCCGAGCTCTCAGTGGGAGATGAGCCCTGGGCAGTGTCCCCCAGAGGGGATGTTCTTGGGAAAGGAGCCATTAGTGGCTGACCTGGAGCTGCAGGGAACTGGAGGGATCTTGGGGCAGCCTCCCCACACAAACGAGAACCCAGGATATTGGGCCAGGAGCCCTGGGTTCAAGGTGCAGGTTCTGAACCCCCTGGTGCCCCTGATGCTCTGGCAATGCTGGCTTCCCCCGCCCTGCCCTTCTTTCAGGGCCCAGCTGTTGGCTGGGCTGGGCTCCTCTCCTGTCACTGCCACTGAGAAGCTCAGAACCAAGGAGTCTTTCTGAAAGTTGTGCTGTAGCCCAGCTGGGAGCAGGTGAGCAGGGCGTACTGGCTGGCAGCTCAGCCTGTCCCTTAAGCCTGTGACAGCCTGCTCCTCACTGCAGCCCTGGCTGGAGGTCTGGGAGTGCTGACACTTGGGGCCTAACAGCAGGATGGGATCCTGAGGTGCAGGAGGGGTGTTTCCAGCCCCTATGTCCCAGAGAGCATAGTGGGGTGCTCAGAATAAGGCTCTCCTGCCCCCCTTGAAGTTGGGTCACTTGCAAAGAGACCAAGAGGAGGACCTCTGGGCCCTGCCTGCAGCACCAGGCCCCCCAACAGTGCTGCAAGGGGATGACCAGTGGGAGAGGGCAGTGGGAGGTGCTGGCTGCTCATTGGAAGGTGAGAAGCAAGTCCTGGCTAGCTGCTTTCCCTGCAGCTTCTCTGCACTGGGGGGAGAGCAGCAGGTGAGTGCCAGCCTGTGCTGCACTGTGGGACAGGCTCGCATCCCCCAGGCTGGGCTTGGGCAAGGACACTGGGGTAAATCTGTGGAGCTCAGCCTCTCTGCCCAGTGGCCTTTCCTGGGGCAAGTCTCAAGACCACCAGGGGCCTGGACAGCACAACGATGGGCACCAGAAACAGGGAGGCCACTAAACTAAGAACATGAGTAGTAGCGGCCTGACCCATGGCACCTCCAGCAGCACAGCAGCCCCTATTGCTGCAGTGGGGTCAGCTCCGACTGCGGGCAGAAATGCCCGTTACTGAGTCCCCACCCCACTTCCTGCAGCACCCCCAAGTGCTGGGGCGAGCACTGACTACAAGGGGAGAGTGCCTCTGTTTGAGCCCCCTGCCTCCAGTTTGCAAGGAGGGACGTGCTCCCACCATCCCTTGGAGAACGCTGCACTGATCACTCATTGGGCGGGTATCGATTTACCTATCCTAGGTGGAGTAGCTGAGCACCTCAATATCTGTGAAGTGTTTACCCTCCCGAGACCCTTGCAGCATCCCCACTGTATAGATGGGAACGGCAGCCCAGAGAAGCTGTCACTCGCCTGTGGACACACAGACAGGCTTTGGTGGTGCATGGAATTGGACCCGGGCTTCCTGAGTCCTAGCTTAGCCCACTAACTCCTGGCCGTCCTGCCTCCTACGTTCGGAAGGTCTTGAGCTGCCCTTGGGATGGCCGGGAGAGCTGGGCCTGGCTGCTGGGCTCCAGTCCCACTGCTGCTCCCACTGACATAGTGCCTTTCCACCAGATCACGGCCACGGATGCAGACAGTGGCCCATTCAGCTCCCTCTCCTACTCCATCGGCTCCGGCATTGGCAGCGTTGTTCCCACGCAGTTCAGCATCGATGAGCACACTGGGCAGCTGTGCACAGTGCAGGGCCTGGACCGCGACGAGGGGGCCACTGCCTATGACTTCACTGTCACTGCTGTCGATGGGGTGAGCGCTGATGAAAGGAGGCTGGGCCCGGGAGGGGAGGGGCTGAGCAGTGGGTGAAGGGGGATGGGCCCATGGGGGAAGAGGCTGAGTAATGAAGGAAGGGGGTCATGGGATGATGGGGAAAGGTGGGATGGCCCTTGGATGGAACTGAGCGATGGGGCAGGGGCAGCTGGGCCCCTAAGGGTGCTGAGCAATGGGGCAGGGGCAGCTGGGCCCCGGGAGGTGCTGAGTGATGGGGAAGGCGGGGGATGGGCCAACGGGGAGTGAGCAATTGGGCGGGGGAGGGAGTTATGCCCCCAGCCTAGTACTGTTCAGAAGGTTATCCCTGTCATCCCATCCCCCCCAGGGCAGTGAGGGCCTCCCAGCAGCCCAGCCCTGGGCAGAGTTATGCCTGGTCCTGTCCTCCTCCAGGGTGGTCTGAACTCCATGGTGTACGTGAAGGTTTTCCTGGAGGATGTGAACGATAACCGTCCGGCGTTCTACCCGCTGGAGTACGCGGCCAGCATCAGCACGCAGAGCATGCCGGGCACAGCCGTGCTGCGCGTCATGGCCCACGACAAGGACGAGGGCCCCCACGGGAAGGTGACGTACCACATTGTCTCAGGGAACTCGCCCCCTCTCTTCTCTCTGCACAAGGACACAGGTAAGAGCCCTTGGTGCCCTGGGCAGGTGTGGGGATGGGTGGGGGGAAGGGATCTTCCCCAGGGTGATACTCAGTCAGCTACAGACAGAGGGTGTGGGGGGATGTGACACCTGTCAGTGTTACTATACAGCACGCTCATCAGCTCCACAGAAGGGCAGCCCCACCAGCCAGCAGCCCCCTTTCTCCTCAGCATTCCCCCTGCCCTGTTTCCACTATCCCTCCCCTCCCTGCTCGGCCAGGAGTGTGGGGCGGGGAGGAGGGCTCCAGCTGGGGGTGTGGGCTCTGGGGTGGGGCCAGGGATGAGGAGTTTGGGGTGCAGGAGGGGGCTCAGGGCTGGAGCAGGGTGTTGGGATGTTGAGTGGATGCAGGCTCTGGGAGAGAGTTTGGGGTGCAGGGTCCTGGCAGCACTTACCACAGCTCCCAGGAAGCGGCCGCCAGGTCCCAGTAGCCCCTAGGTGCATGGGCGGCCAGAGGGGCTCCGCATGCTCCCCTCGTGCCCACAGGCGCTGCCCCTGCAGCTCCTATTGGTCACAGTTCCCGATCAATGAGAGCTGCAGAGCCGGCACTGGGGCAAGGGCAGCACACAGAGCCTCCTTGGCCGCCCATGCACCATGGGGCCTCAAGGACCTGGCGGCCGCTTCTCAGAGTCACACAGAGCTAGAGCAGGCAGGGAGCCTGCCTTAGCCCCAGGTCCCCGCTGCACCACCAACAGGACTTTTAACGGCCCAGTCAGCGGTGCCGACCTGAGCCGCCAGGGTCCGTTTTCAACCGAGTATTCTGGTTGAAAACTGGATGCCTGGCAACCCTATTCCCTGCATTCCTGACCACATTCCCTGGGCCCAGAGAGGCTCCATACCCATGGCCCATTCCCCAGGGCCCTACTTTTCCTGACACCCTTCCCCCCCAGGGCCAGGGCCAGGGCCAGGGCCAGGGCCCAGGCCCTTTCTAGACTGAACTCCACCCCTCTCCCCTCCATCCCCCCAGAATCGGCAGACTGATCTCCCCACAGCCAATGCTGAGATAAACGGGGCCAGGTTCACTCTTCCCCCTCCACCCTCTTTTGGCCTTTCTAGGACTGATGGGTCCAGGGCTGAATACAGTGGGAGGGGAGGGAAGGGGAAGGAAGTAGGGTCTCCTCAGACCCCTATAGAGCGGGGCTGCCCCTCCTTGCCCCCAGATGTAGCCCCCATCTCTCTTTGCAAATGCCATCCACTTTCGTTCCCCCTCTGACCCCTGGAGTCAATCTCTGGGGTTGGTATCTCTCTCCCTTGGTTATTCCCAGGCTCGTAGCTTGTTTCTGCATCCCTGGAACAGGGAGGGGAAGTGCATTTCCTGCTGGGGGAGGGGGACACAGTGTTCAATCCTACAGCACTTCTCCTATGAGTTTCTTTCTCTTCCAGGTGTTGTCTCCCTCTCGTGGTCCCTGAGTGGCAAAGCCAACACGCTGGTGCAGCTGGTGATCTCAGCACGGGATGGAGGGGGCCTGTCAGCCCAACCCAATGCCCAAGTGAACATCAGCATCGTGGCTGGCACGGTCTCACCTCCTGTCTTTGAGCAGGCACAGTACTTCTTCACAGTGCCTGAGGACACACAGCAGGGGGCGAGTGTTGGGGCCGTCCGGGCCCATAACCCACCAGGTATGGACCCATCGCAGCCCCCAAAACACGTTGGGCCCATGTTTCCATTTCAGGGGTCCTGTGCTCCTGCCCCACTCTGCACAGTGACCCTGCTGGGATCTCCCCCCACAGCTAGCGGCCTGCCCTCCCCCACGGTGCCCCCTGCTGGCGCCACCACAGTGCCTCCTGTTCCTCCCATCCCCTGCTGGGAAATCCCCCCACAGCCAGTGCCCTGCCCGCCCCCACGGCGCCTCCTGCTGGGAGCTCCTCCCAAAGCCAGTGCCCTGCTTTTCCCCATGGCGCCTCCTGCTGGGAGCTCCCCGCACAGCCAGTGCCCTGCCCTCCCCCACAGTGTCCCCTGCTGGGAGCTCCCTCCACAGCTAGCGGCCTGTCCACCCCCACAGTGCCCCCTGCTGGGAGCTCCCTCCACAGCTAGCGGCCTGTCCACCCCCACAGTGCCCCCTGCTGGGAGCTCCCTCCACAGCTAGCAGCCTGTCCACCCCCACAGTGCCCCCTGCTGGGAGCTCACCCCACAGTCAGCTCCCTGCCCTCCCCCACAGCGCCCCTTGCTGGGGCAGGCTGGGTGGGTGAGCGGAGCACTGCTCTCACTGTCCTTGTTCTATATTCCCTTGTCCCCAGGTCACTCTGATGACATCTTTTATTCCATCTCCTCGGGAGATCCCCATGGCTATTTCTTCATTGACTCCAGCTTGGGACAGCTCCGCACCAGCCTCCCTCTCGATCATGAGGTCCAGGCGGTTCTGGTTCTCGACGTGCAGGCCCGAAGTGGCTCGCCGCCTGCCTACAGCAACACGCAGGTGAAGATTTCCGTGTCAGACGTGAATGACAATGCACCAGCCTTCCTGGCCCCTTCTGACTCCATCCTGCTGCCAGAGGCCACAGAGGTGGGGGCCACTGTCTACACGCTGCAGGCGGAGGATCGGGACAGTGGTGCCAACGGGCAGGTGCACTTTGAATTGGTGTCAGGTGGGGACGGCATCTTCAGCGTGGAGCGCTCCTCTGGGACAGTGCGTGTGGTGGGGGCGCTGCAGTACGAGGCCAGTGCCGCCTATGGCCTAGCCATAGTGGCACGAGACAGCGGTGTGCCCCAGCTCAGTGCCACCTTCACCCTGCTGGTGCACGTGCAGGCAGAGCACGACCACGGGCCCATCTTTGACACACTCACCTACCGTGTGGAGGTGCGGGAGGGCACGCCTGTCTCCACTCGCTTCCTGCAGGTGCGGGCCCTGGGCCGGGACACTGGTGCCACGCCGCTCACTTACTACCTGCGTGCCGATGGCGACGCCGCTAGCTTTGGCATTGTGCCCGAGAGTGGCTGGCTCTATGTCAAGAGTGCGTTGGACCGGGAGACGCGGGACCTGTACATGCTGACAGTGCTGGCGGCTGCAGGCACAGGCGGCACCAGCAGCGAGGCTAGGAAGACGGGCACCAGCACGGTGCGGGTCAGCATCACTGACGAGAATGACAACAGCCCCCGGCTCAGCGAGGAGCGCTACTTCTTCACCATTCCCGAGAACCAGCCACCGGGCAGCAGGGTGGGCAGGGTGACAGCCAGTGACCGGGACACGGGGCAGAACAGCCGCCTCACCTACCGCCTCCTCCAGCATGACCCCAACTTCCTCATCCACATGCAGTCTGGTGAGAGACCCCACAGGCGGTGCAGGTGGAAGCAGAGGGAGAGCCCACCGAGATCCGAGTGGGCATGGAGGGGCCTGTGAAGCTCATCAGGGGGTAGCTGTGAGGGTAGAGCAGTGCTGGCCCCAATGTGGCACTAGGGGGTGCTGTGCTTCAGGGAGGGAGGTGGAGGTAGCATCATGCTACTTCGTCAGTGACTCCCCGGTCTGAGAACTACCAGAGCCGTCCCAAGGCAGAGTGCTTTGTCGGGTTGCCCTCCCTCCCACAGGGCTCTCATGGCACTGGTGGTGCCAGCAGCCCTTTAGACAAAGCCAGGCCCATCACTGAGCTACTGCAGCCGCAGATGTGACTGGTGGGGTGGTCCCGCCTTCCACCCGCCCAGCCCAGAGCCCAGCGCTCAGGTCAGCAGGGCCCAGGAGCCTAGAGAAGCCAGAACACAGGTGCTGAGACTTAAGGAAGCTTGTCAAGAGGGATATACAATGGACCCAGGGGTCAGGAAAGGACGTATGCACAAGGATGGGTGTGGGGGGGTCACACCCCAAACGAGGGTCAGTGTCACCTTGTCTCACAGGAGGTTAGGGCTCACACCCTAGGAAGTGGGTCGCTGTCACCCTGTCTCACAGGAGGTTAGGGGTCACACCCCGAAGGTGGGTTGGTGTCACCCTGTCTCATAGGAGGTTAGGGGTCACACCCTAGGAGGTGGGTCAGTGTCAGCCTGTCTTACAGGGCATTAGGAGTCACACCGCAAAGGAGGGTCGGTGTCATCCTGTCTCAGAGGAGGTGAGTCGGTGTCACCCCGTCTCATGGGAGGTTAGAGATCACACCCCAGAGGAGGGCCTGCTGCAGTTGGCATGGCTCTCTTGTCATCAGCGTTAGCTCAACTGTCCTGCCCCCCCTCTTCTGCCCTGACCTGGCATCTGCCTCGCATTGGGGTCCTTGGTGGCTGGCACAAGGGGCATATGGTAGGGGACCCTTATGCAATTTCAGAGAGCAGCTCTAACCGTGTTCCACCAACCCCAGCTGGCTCCCTTCCCACTGCCCTTTCCCGAGGGCCCTTGTCCTGTCACCACCATCCCAGGGCCACCTCCTTCTCCATGGCCTGCTCCTTCGGGCTGGCTCCCCCACCCACAGCCCATTCCCAAGGGTTGTGACTCCATTCCCCCAGTCCAGGACCATCTCTCTGCCCACAGTCCATTCCCCTGGGCTCTGTCCTGCCTTGCAAGCTGGGGCTCCCCTCTTCCCAGGGGAGACAGTTCCCCATCTGGAGCTGTCTCCCTGCTGGGAGTCCTCGTTGGGAGCGGGCACTCTGGGAGCTGAGCTGTGTCCTTGCTTCTCTCTTGCAGGAGAGCTCACTGCCAAGCGCAGCCTGGACCGGGAGCAGCAGTCAAGCTATCAGCTGCTGGTGATCGTACAGGATGGGGGGACGCCACCCCGCAGCGTCACGGGCACCGTCTATGTCACCGTGTTGGATGAGAATGACAATTTTCCGGCTTTCCTTCATGTGCTGGGCGGGCGGGAGCTCCTGGTGCAGGTGAGGGGTGCAGGCAGGCACTTCCTCTGAAAATTGTGAGGCTGGGAGCTTCAGGTGCAAGTTGTGGGGTCCAGAGCCCTCAGTACAGATTGGGGGGGCAGAGCTCCCACTGCAGGTTGTTGGGGGCCAAGAGCGCTTGGTGGGGGAGGAGAGGGCCCCTGTGCAGGTTGGGTGATGGGGGGTGGGGGAGGAGAGAG